CAGTAAGCTAACTGACCGCTACGAGATGTAGCGCTGGTCAAAAGGACTAGAAAAGCTGCTAACCGCATAGTTAGAGAACAAACTAAGAACAAGTATTCCATAATGCGCTCAGATAGACGATCAAGTTTCCTATGCTCCCATATTCCGTTGATATTGTGGAATTCAGATCCTTCCACAGTACATAGTAGATGTGCCTATTCATCAAAAGCGTCCAGTTTGTCTGCTATACGTGTATGCATTCTTTAGGTTAGTGGAACCACCGGAGCACGGTGAGCTCCTCAAGGAAGGGCAGCCGATAAATCAATTCACTTACAGCGATGTGTTGGCCAGCAGGGTGCGCTACCGACACGATAACAGCGAAACAACTGTTGATAACATTGATCTAGAGGTAGGTGGCTTCCTGTACTTCTGCTCCATGTGTTCCCGATGATTGATACTTTCGACATGCTTTTCCTGGTTTTTTCACTGGCAGGAGTTGCCGATGGCGGATTGCTAATAGATCTCAGGATAAGTTGTACAGGCTTGATGGGGAACATTCATTTCTGAGAAAAAACTCAGAACTTTTTCTCAAAGAAAAGAAACACTGTCAAAAAAATTTACACTAATCTTCTGTCATTTTTCATGCTTTTTAAATTTATTTACTAGAAAATATTGGCAATCAGTAAAGCACACACACAGAAACTGAACTGCGACTTTTCTCCCATCCCTTTTTAGCGTCAATCCATCAAAAGTTGTTTAAAAAGTAGTCAGGAAGTAGAGCTTCTGAGAATGACAATAAAAATTTGCTAAATGTTATTAACAGCGATTCGCAACAATAACTTATGCAGCTGTGTCCATTCAGTTTACCAACTAAGCCGCCGGATTTTTTATCTCTTCGCGATGGTTTGTTGACCTGTCTGACAGATTATGCAATAAGCGTAATATCGCATGCAAAAATTCGGGATATCATACTAAAAGCTGCGACCAAATTGGACTGATGGCAAGTCGCTAGGACAAATTTCCGCAAATCCCTTCGCTGAAATTTAGTCGCTAGGATGACGTTGAAAAATTCGCCTTGCGTTGCTGAATTAAGTCAGGATGAAACTCACAGACTGCAGTTTTCATGGTTTTACAGCTGCGGAGTTGAATCATCCGGAAAGAAAGCAGACAGTCACATAGAAAAATACGCAGTCCTGGATTCGTAAAAATATGTTTCCTAATATGTTTCCTATTCATATATTCAAGAAAGATGCATAAAAAGCGTGGTAATAACTTTTAAAACAAGTTCCTTCTCTGTTCCAGGGAAACAAATCTGCGACCGCCATATCACCTTCACGCACGTCTAGGCTCCGCGTACAAGTATATGAAAGTTTTGATGCAAAAGTCTCGGAAACCAGAAAAGCAGGGAGGCCAAAATTTTAAACGGATGCAGATTTGCTTGTACACGGGAGGCCAAAATTTTAAACGGATGCAGATTTGCTTGCCCATGCACGACCTAAAAATTTCAAACTCAGCCCCCAGGTGTGCGTGGCTCTCATGTACAGCCTCATGAAATTTTTTGGCGGGAAAATCGCTAATTCGGGAACCGGAAAAGATGGTAAGCTAAAATTTTAGCGGAATGCTCCTTGTCCGTGTACTACATAATTGCACAATAAACTTCTTGAATTTCCAGGACCAGTATGTCACAAATTCTAGCTATTTCCAGGCGAATTTCCAGACAAATTTACTACAGCACGAAATACTGCAAAAACGCGTGACCGCGGGCTCGCCTCGGACACTTTGCCAATGATTTATGCTATTGACGATCTAACTGTTTCAAATTCTTAGCAAGAACGCACCGACAACTCTTGTGCGCGATGCTGCGTGATTTCAGTATTCACTCCGCTTTTTCTCTGGATTTTCAAGCATATCTTTAATATTTTTATGCACTTTTGCTGTGCCGCGCTATAGCGCTGCAACAGTAAGCAAGAATGCATATTGACGAGAGGTCGTACGTGTGGGTATATTTGGAAGCGAGTGAAACTTGTCGTCCAATTTCAACTCAGAAACCAGGAAAACTGGAAGGCTAAGATTTTGGGGTTATATTCCTGCTTCATTTGTCACCCTCCCGTTTAAAAATATTCGCTCATATGCATCTAGACCTCTCGTGCGGACTCCCGAAAGAAATATGCAAATTTCTTTGGCGAGAAACGATTTCGTTATCCAGACAAAATAAAATTAATTCTTCTGTGCGTATGTGCACTAAAGATTTCAAATTCAGCTATCGCACATGCCTATCCCACGCGTACGTTCATGTCAAATTTCGCAGCTGGCATTGTGCTAACTCGAAAGCTAGAGGGAAAACAGTAGCTGAAATTTTGTCAGAAATGTTGGTTGTTCGTATGGAAAATCGTGCACCTAAACTGGGTTTCAATTTGCAATTACGCCACGACTTCAAAGAAATTTGTTGCGAAGTCGCTATTTTGCTTAACAAACAAGCTGCGAAGCTGAAACTTTGCAAGAATATTCTATATTCAGTGTTGTCTTAACTCAGTGTTGGAAATAAAATTTGCTGCACGCAGACATGATAAATTCTCGATTTTGTTGCAGACTCAGAAGCTAGTGCATTTTGCAGATATCATAATCTTCTTCCGACTTGTTTTAAATTTGCTTTTGTATGCGCTTTTGCATATACGCAAATTGCAGAAACGTAATTGGCAAGAAGCTGTGTGTGTGTGTGTCTGTTTGGACTTTTTGTCATCCACTTTCAACTTGAGAACCAAAAAAGCTAGAAGGCCGAAACTTTGGGAGTA